TCCCAAAAAGCCAAAAACCTCAACCCCTTCCCTCCCTTTTATCACACGCACTCACACGCAGTGAGAGGAGGAGAATGGCCACCCTAGTTCAATCTGGAAAATGGATTCAAAAGGGTCTAGAAATCATTATAGCAGCAATAAGTTGGATGGTATTTTTGTTCCTGGATTTTCTTGAAGTTTTCATGTGCATTTTCTATAGATTGTTGGATGAATTCCTGGAAGGAAAAGCCTATTCTTCATGTTACTGCATGGAATTAATGGAGGAAAAGGAGAAGACAGGTGATTGTCATCATGTTGCGCAAGTAGAAGTTGATGGAGAGAGTGAGCTGTCTGAAACGCTTCATCGAAGGAGAAATTTCTTTAGGGGCTTATTGGGGTCACTTGGGATTTCTTTGGTTCCAAAAGGATGGAGAAATGGTGAATCATTCTTGCAGATGAGGAATGGCACCAGGTGGTCTGATTGTGGGTGTGATTCTTGTGTTGAGTGGATGAAAAATGCTGATGATCCAAAGCTTCACGTTGTGGTCCAAGAACCACAGACAGAAAGAGGTAAAACTGTATGTGTTGCATTTGTGATATTATAGATTTAGTCCCTCATGTTTTAAATAGTTCTAATTCTAGTCGCGAATGTTTGACCTTTATACTACAAAAATTTCACATTAATTTCTAAGGATTAACTTTTTGTGCATTACCAGTATAGTGATTTTTTTACACTAGTAACTACAGATATATGTCACATGTGCATAATTTAAATTTCAAATTTGAATTCATATTATGTGGTATAATATAAATTTGTTGAAGTAAAGGAAATTATATATCGAGAGTGTAAAGAAAAGTTATCCAATTTCTAATGCAAAATTGTAAACCATGGGATTTTGCTGAATTTGCATTTGCAATCCATTTCATTTTTGGAGTTTTAGTATCGAATGTGAACTCCCTCGTCTCGTTCTAGTTTTTCTGCTTTAGAACTAGAAGTGGTAAATGAGATTGCTAATTTTGTGTCATTTCAGTCCTGAGGATGGTAGATATTTGGTCCCTGTAGCCCTTTTGGATGGAATTTTATGGATCAGCTGTCACAGTTTTGCATGTAAAATTTGCAGCAAGAGAGATTAATATGTAATCACATTAATGTACGTAGAGATTAAATTTGCCAATATTATAAATTTTTTTCTTCTAGAATATAATAATCTTGAACTCAACCAAACAGTTTCATTCAAAAACTTCTTTCTCTTTAGAGTTCAATTGGCTTTACAAAATGCAGTAAATGATGCTAATAGCTTATAAAATGACAAACTGCAGGCAGACTCTTGGAATAGTGTGAGGCTGTGAGCTAATGTAATGTGGAATCTTTTCTTGTCCTTTGTGTTTTGTGGCTAGATAAGGAGCTGCAGCCGGATAAGATAAAAATGCCCATAACACTTTTAGAAAGAGTATGTCCAACAGAACAATTTTAGGATAGTTTTGGGACCATTATGATGAGTGGATATTTCTGCCTTTGTTAGGTGTGGCTGAGTATCCAGTTCCAATGATTCTCCAGTTTCTGGAACCTTAGCGACTACTCCATCTCTGAAGGTAATGCAGCAACTAGCTCCCCTGGTTAACCTGCCCTTTGTATTTTGTCAGCTAGATAAGGAGCCCTTGCTGGATTAAATTAGAAGTGGCATAATACTTTTAGGAAGAGTATATCCAACAGAAGAATTGGGATTTAGCAAGGATTGTTCTTGCCTTTTTGGACCATTATAACTAGTGGAATTTTTTGGCTTTGTTAGGTGTGCCTCAACATCTAGTAACACTACTGATAATTCAGTTTCTTGAACCTTATTGACAAGTCAATCTCTCGAAGTATTGCAGCAACTAGTTTCCCTGCTTACCCTGTTCTTTGTATTTCAAGCAATTCTATTACGTAGATTGGGCCCCTAAAGATGATTTCAACAGTGTATGCCTGCACAGACAAAGCTGCTTTCTTTATACTTTACCAAACAACAATTTCAGCAGCATAACTTGTGGATGATATAAACAATTTAAAGATGTTCAATCATTAAATTGGCATTGTATTAGGGTATTTTCTAAGAAAACTCTGACAATAACAAGGGCACTCAAAGAAGCTACTGAAATTATTGGACTGAGGCCTAAGCAGAAAAGACATTATCTCAAATGCTTAAAGCAGTAAAATTCAAAATTGATGATTAATTTTTCTGTTTTGAAAACTTTCCAGTCACATTTTTTAATCAAAAGTCCAAATTTGATGGTTGTTCTGGCCATTTCAATTAATAATACTCGAAGAAACATTCATATCGGTTGGCAAAATAGACATAATCCATGTAGATGTCTATGATAAATCGACATAAATGTTTCTTCTATCTGTATTTCTTATTTCCACTAGCATTATTCTCTCACTACCTTGCCTGGAAGAATCAAAAGCTATGCTTTTTGGGAGCAAACCATTAAAGAAGAATTTTCACATGTTAGATAAGGAACTTGCATTTGAATATTTTCGGTACAAGATTTGCTGCATCACTAAAAACATGTTGCATCAGCATTCCAAAAGCTCAACTGACTTTTTTGTGTAAGACTTGGTAATGACAGACATTGTGTGTTTGGCAGCTAGCTGGGTGGACAGCAAAGAAAGGGAAGCCGAAAATGTGATATTTTTGCATGGTTTTCTCTCATCCTCCTCATTCTGGACAGAAACTGTATTTCCTAATTTATCTGAATCTGCAAAGCAAAATTGCAGATTGTTTTCTGTAGATCTATTGGGATTTGGGAGAAGTCCAAAACCAAGGGACTGTTTATACACCCTCAAGGATCACCTAGAAATGATTGAGTACTCAGTGATCGGTCCATATCAGCTGAATTCATTTCATCTAGTTGCACACTCCATGGGGTGTATCATTGCTTTGGCATTAGCTGCAAAACATTCTAAATCTGTGAAATCAATAACCCTCATAGCACCGGTGAGTGCACGATATGTTAAACAGTAAAATGCTGTTTGAAGCTATAAAGTGAGAAGCATCATGGGATGATCGAATTTTGTCCCAGAATCCATTTACGATACAATTCTGTTATTTTTCCTTCTTGTTTTTCATTTCTGTTGTGTCTATATGACAATGTGATCTCATGCTATTTCAGCCTTACTTCTCTTCTTTGAGAGAGGATGCTAGTATGGTAGCACTTGAAAGACTTGCAGCGAAAAGACTGTGGCCACCTCTTTTATTTGGTTCATCATTTATGTCTTGGTATGAACACTTAGGCAGATGTGTGTGCTTCATTATTTGCCGAAATCATAAAATGTGGGAATCACTCTTGAAATTCATCACCAGGAGAAGGTAAATTATACAATAAGCATCAATCTTGATTTTATTTTATTTATTTATTTTTTTTGTGTGGATGCATTTCAACAATCCTTGAAAATTTTCGAAGTAGAACTGAATTGTACCTCTTTCTGCTTCAGGAATCTACATTTTACGTTTATAGACTTGACTCGGCATACTCATCATTCTGCTTGGCACACAATGCATAATGTCATATGTGGAGGGGCTAAATTAGCTGATAAGTACTTGGAGACTTTGAGAATGGCCAAAGTGAAAATCAATGTTATCCAAGGCACTCGAGATCAAGTAGTCCCAATTGAATGCAGCATCAACATTCAAAAGCAAGTTCAAGAAGCAGAGATTGACAAGATTGCCAATGCCAACCACGGCAGTGTAGTTTTAGGTAGAGAAAAAGATTTTACAAGGGACTTGGAACGTATATGGTCTTCTGTTGCTGATCTGCATTAGACGAAAATGTGGAATTAATCCACCACTAACCCCCATTTGTGAACTACTTTCTCCAGCAGATGATTTGATTTTTAAGGATTTACTTTCATCAGTGTAGGGAAATTTGTTTCAAATGCCTAAACAAGGCAGGGTTATTCGATTTAGTGCAGATTCAAATTGGTTTTCATGGCTTCATGTGCCTTATCTTCACTTGAAAAACATGCAGGGATCTTGTTGGCAATGTGCAAGCAAAGTCAATTTGTCTTAATTTAGGATTTATTTAATTTTTATCATAGTAGTAACATCCTTTTTCATTTGTGAAACCTCCCTCTGACTAGGAAGAAAGAGAACCAATCAAGAGGCCTTCAGCATCTTTCTAAGTGATACTGCTTCACAAGTTTGTTGTCCTAGGTTGAGCAGAACTGCAGAAAGTTCGATTCAGAGTTTTGCCAATTAGTCAAATATCAGGTTCTTACATCTCTTAAAGAAAGCAAAATGTAAAATGAATCAATAATAGACAATCAATCTCCATGATAATGATTCCAGGAGCTTAAGCTTGACGATTGATCAATTAATAGTAACATCAGCAAATGCACAAAGTAATGGTCTTACAGATTTACAGTGATTTTCTTACCACATTTGATACATATATTCATATATTTCTCCAAGTTCAGAGTTTCCAAGTACTCTTTGATCTCTTCCACGGAGTGAGACCTGAAAGCTCTTCACAATTTTGAGCACTCCCTCATGCCTAGGAGCTATGATTTTTCACTCCTCTTGAGAGCACTTCATTCAATGAATAGGATCAGTAATAAAATGACTGATAAGAAGATAGAGCTTAACTCAACGAATCTTTTGTTTCATTTCCTGTGCCACTCTGTATACCATTTCTTATTATATTACTATTTTTCATTCATAAACAAGATATTTTAGACTCATCTGATTAATAACGTCATTGTATTGCTATTTCTCATTCATAAACATGATATTTTAGTCTCATCTGATTCGTAATAGCAAAACGGCAACATTAGCATCTTAATATGGAAAATAAATGATCCGTCAGATGCAGCATACATCTTTAACCAGTTTCAACTTGTATCCATTTTGGAAGGGGTCGAGCGTCGCTCCGCCTTGGGTACCATCCTATCACACACAGCGATTACTTCAACACAAGCATCAAGCCAAGGTTGGTGATGTTAAGTGATCATACCAAACTACAGCAGACATTTTTTGCCCAGTATAGCCCATAAATGCACAATTTTTCACTTCATAATCAGTTTCTAAACAATAATATAGAAACCTTTAGGCAACAATACAATTATATTTAAAAAGCAAAAAGAAATAAAATTCTATCGTACCCCATCTAGGATTAAAATGGAACAAAATTGGTAGGGATCTTTACTCAGGCTTCTTAAATGATTTTACATTTTCAAATCGTCCCCCTTCATGATCTCTTCCTAAGCTTTTCATATTTCCGATTGCTAATATCTGAAAACCCTGTAAGCTACTGCTGCATTCATTCTATCATCATCGATTTTTAAACTTTTTTGCTTTCCCATTCTTCAAACCTAAATATCTATCAACATCTTCGTCGACGTCATCTCCTCCCCTTCGTTTCTTCTTCCCACCAGTTTCTTTGAGTTTCTGTCAAAGATAAATCATAGAAATAGTCAACTAGTGCACGTTTCTAAGGGCAGAATGCTAATTTGTGAGAGGGAGGAAGGGGGCGCCAAGGACCGAAGCAAATGCCATCATGATGGAGAGGGAGAGGAAGGAAGAGGGAGAGAGAGTAGCAGCTAGGTGCAAGGCAACCCAAATCAGTTATTGCAAAGATGTTTAAAACCAAAAATACAACTTTGTACCATTTGAGAGATTCTTTTAGCCTCCGTGACCCGCTCCAACAGAAGCAAGACTTCTTCTTCTTGAGCTGGGAATTCGGGTAACTTCTTCCCTGAGACATAAAAATGTAAATCCGAAGAACAAAGATTACATCACATCTACAAAACGCTCATAGAGTACAGGATGTGTTCATACCAATGAGCTTCTCTATTTGTATATACCACTCCAACTCATACTGATTGACTAATGAAATGGCAACACCTGATCGTCCTGCACGAGCAGTTCTTCCAACCCGATGTATATAGTCCTGGAGAGCATTCATTCAATAAGGTATAGCACATTATATAAGTAAGCAAAACTTTTTACAGATAATAAATCACAAAGATGTCTGTTTCATAGATACAACAAAACACAATCCAGTAACCGCAAGGAATCAGACACAAACCCACATCCTGACACCCTCTCCTAACTTCCCCATGCCCTTAGGTCAAGCTGCCCATTTTTGACAAAGCACAACTTAGTCGTCCATGAATTACGACAAATGCCATTAGAACAGGAAAAAACAGCACCGTCAAAGATGATAGGAAGGCAAAGCCCAATAAGGTGTAAAGGCCTAGTCAAAATAATAGTAAATAAGAGGGAAAAGAGCACAGAACATTTCTTCCATAACTTAACATGATACTGAAACATAAAATGCAATTTAGAAGCAAAGGCACGTGGCAAGCAGTCAGCATCCAGAACAGCACAAGATAGAGAAAGGGCAAAGATAATTCCTTGAGAAGAGACAACAATGCTGCAACGGCAGACAAAACAGAGGTAGTCAAAGTTAAATCTTGACTGAAGCAGTTATCAAGAACTTAAAAAATTTTAGAGTATGGGAAACATGAATTTAGAATGCCAACTTGAAAAACAAGGAAAGAAACTGACCTTTGAGTTTGTGGGGATATCATAATTAATAACCATATCAACAGATGGAATATCTAGCCCTCTACTAGCAACATCAGTACAAATGAGGATATTACATTCTCCACCCTTAAACTTGTTCAAGGCTCCGAGTCTTTTTGCCTGTCCAGAGAAATCAAAACCTGAGAGCACGCTAAATAGAGAAGCAATAAACGATTAACCAGAAACATATGCAGTTGAAAACGAACTTCACTATGACAAATTCTCAACACACTTAGTGGCCATACCTGGGTCATATGGCCACTAATAGGGATGGCCCTTAAGCCCAGGTTCCTCAGCATCAAAGCCAAAAGACCAGTTGCATCACATGTACGTGTAAACACCATCGATGTGCTTCCAGACATCTCAGTTAGAATATAAACAAGATAGCATTCCTGCACGGCAAGTAATTTGATTTCAGAAGAAAGAAAGAAAAGAACAATGAGTGATTTAGCATATTTGCCCAAAAGAATTTCAGTAACAGAGTGGAAACACATATTATGGCATGCAGAAACAATGCAAGCACACAAGCATATGCTCAATCAACTAACAGAAATGTGACACTGCAGAAAAGGCATACCTTATACTTTGCAGGAACAAAGCGATACTGTTGCTTAAGCGTATCCACTGTGGAATACTTAGATGCAGCTTCTATCTGAAAGAAAATGCAAACAAAGTCAGATCATCCACTCCCAAAGAACATCCAGAATAGTGGGGTAACAACCATACTACCTTCACAGGATTCCTCAGACATGCCCTCTGGAGCTTCTTGACCTGTAAAACAAGAATCACAGTTTTTTCAGTACCATGGTACTTTTTACAGAACAACATAACACTTGCACTTGTTTGCCAGTGATTTCTCTTAATATTGAGCTCAGCTCACAGCTACACGACACAGAAAAGATCAGCTAATATAGTTCTGCACAAGCAAAACAAAATAATTAATTGACCATATACCTTCTTTGTCATGGTAGCAGAAAACAAATATGTCTTCCTTTCACGAGGAATAACATTCAATATCTCATCTAGTGATTTCTCAAAATCCTCATTCAGCAACCTGTCTGCTTCATCCAATACCTGCCATTAAAACACAGGATTAATGTCCTTTTAAGAAAGATGAGGAACCATCATATCCAGAGCAACAAGTATTTCACATCATACAGAGCCTGATCTTTTGCATTTTTGGCAGAAATTGGGATCAAATCAGGAGAAAGAGAGAGAGTCACACATGTTCAAAGTATGCAAACTTGTATACACAGCTATCTTGGAAGCAAATGACCCATCAGTCCAAAATAACAACAAACTTTTTTCAAGTCCTAAGGCATGCACGCAGGGGTTTTACAAGCATATACCTAACATAGAGAAAAAAATTATCAAAACACAACTCCAAATGTTTTCCACATATGAAGGAAACTTACCAAGTACTTCAACATACGCAGCGTAAAACCTTTAGTATTCGAAAGATGATCAATGAGGCGACCAGGGGTTGCCACCTAAAATTGAGGAAAGATGGAAAAGATAAGTATAAGCAGCAAAGAAAATGGATGTGGCTTTGGAAATGAAGCAGTAAAGAGAAACTCCTAAAATGAAGAAGAAAATAGAAAAGCTGAAAAAGGAGGGAAAAAAAGGAGGAAGAATGAAACTGACAACAATATGGGGGCGCTTAGCAAGGGCAATGCTCTGGTCAGTTTGGGCAACTCCTCCAACAAGCTGGAAAATAATTGTACACCACAAGTTAATCTACTACATAAGCAACAGTAATCTCTTCAGTTACAGAAACAAAATTTTGAAGTGTACAAAATAATTTTAAAAAAATAAAAGGCAGGGGGGAATCATAAGCATTAACATTTCTATTTTGGTTTGAAGAAATTGATCTATAAGGTTAAAGTTTCCCAAAGGGAAAAAAATGGAAAAGAGAAAAAGAAGGCAGACCACAGCACACTTGACTCCAATCCCTGATCCCAAAGCTTCAAACTGTTCAGAAATTTGAATAGCCAGCTCTCTGTAAGCAAAAACAATATAAATTTTAGAAAAAAATCGTACCGTGCAGAAGAATTACATAAGTGAATAGATAAATAAGATAAAGGAAAAGGGAAGAAATAGAAACCGTGTGGGAGAAAGGACACAGGCAAAGAAAGGTTGGGGAGCTTGAAGAAGAGCTTGGAGAATTGGCAGAGCAAAGGCAGCGGTTTTACCCGAACCAGTTTGGGCAAGTCCAATGATGTCGCTCCCTTGAATGGCGTGGGGAATGGCCTCCATCTGAATCCTTGTGGGTGCTTTCCATCCCAAATTGTCGCACGCCTCCACCAGCTCTGAGCACACTCCCAATTCTTTGAAGCTCTGAATTCTTTCCTCCTCCTCCTCCTCCTCCACCACCTTTACCTCCTCTTCTTCTACTTCTCGTTTCTCCTCCACCATCATTTCTTCCTAGAAAACAAATTACTAAATTCCGATAGACAGTAGTTGTAAACAATGTTTTTAAACTTGGAACAAGGCTTAAAAATCTTCATCATCGAATTTCCAACTCGGGTATAAGGCCAAGAATCCTAACATCCAACTTTCTTCATTATCAACACAAAGTACCAGTATACAATTATCATCAACTTCATCACTATCTTTACGACCTGATCGTTCAAACCTTAAAAATGCCAAAGTTCACTATGAAATATGTCCAATTACAGCCACTCCAAAACCCAAAAAAAAAAGCAATTTAATAGAAAATTACAAGCAATTTTAAAGTAAAAAAAGAACAACCAAACGCCTAAAAATTCAAACCAAGGCTGAAAAATGAATTACAAGATTAGAACTATCAGCAGGGTGGCTCTACGGATGAGAAAGAAAGAAGAAGAAGGCTGCTAGACATTTGAAAAGAAAAACACTCACCATACCTGCTGTCTTTTCGCTTAATAAGTACCGGCTGTTGATTCTCTTTCAATGGCAGAGGAGGAGATTTTGTAACGATGGCATCTAATCTAAGAGGAAGAGGAAGAGTGGCTTTGTTTTAGTTAATAAGAGAAGAAGAGCTGAAGAGGTGCTCTGTTTGGCAGCCACCTGAACGAGGGATTAGGAATGTAGGGTTTGACAACGAAAATTATGTATTTTGACTTTATTATCTTTTTCAGCAAGTAATTTGATCTCTTGACGATTTTCTACTTTTTTAAATATAATTTCAGCCCCTTGTACATAAGAAATTTACCTTTCTAACTCAGCTTATGGTTCTTTTCAACCTAATTGCACATTTAATTGAACCTTTTTATTAAAATACATTTTATACCAATGTTACATAGACTTGTCATTTGTTCCCCAACGCAAATAACAAGGGAGGATACAAAATTTTTCTAAAGTTACATGCTGGTGACCCTTTGGAGGTTACTAGCACATTAAATGGCTAAAAAATATGGCTTTTTTTTTAATACCTATTGTAAGGATGCTAGAAGCCAGTCACTTACAGTTGATTACTGGAAATTTTCTAGCTGTGCCAATGTGAATTTGTTGTGTTAAAAAAAATTGAAAAATTCCCTATAACTCTCAATTTTAAAATTAATAGAACAAGGAAGATCTTAATTGTCATCATGTTGAAAAACCATGTCCATGTGCGAACTATTATGGCAGTAGGGTAATTAAAGCAATGTCCATGTCCATGTGCAAAACCAGAGAAACTAATATAACAAGGAAGCTGCAAAACAATTGAAGACTGAGGTATGTTAAAAGTCTCTGTACCCCCAAGTTAGGATCCGTCCATTGAACAATCTCCTTTCAATGAACCAAGGTATGGAACTCAAAAGTGCTTATTTGTGCCGGGAATTAATCAGTGCATGACCAGTTCCTAAAACCAAAATTTAAGCAGAAACCAAATTATATCAAACAAATCATGAGTGCAGATTCTACTTGTTGAGCCCCAAAACATGTGGAAAATTAGAACCAAGACAGTAGAAGCTGGGGAAATACTCTTTAACTGGTCTTTGGTCCTAACTATGATAGTCAATAACATGACAATGCAGTAAAAGTCAAAAACAATCGATGAAATTAATGTTTCTAGGTCTATCAAAGTATTATTTCCAATGAAATTTAAAGATAGTTCGAGCCTGTGCAAGACATTAAAGGATCATTCAGCATACAAACACAAAGGCAAAAGTCAAATCATTTTTGTTTAGGACCAAACAGTAAGCTAAAGAACATCTCTCAAATCATCTAATACTCCATAACAATGGGACACGTAAATTTTCAGAAAACTAAACCAGTGTAGTGGTAAAGCTACCTTTAGAAGCAAATCATCAAACACAAAGCAAGTTACTATTGTAAGAGATGATCACACACCTTAAACACTAGATGTTTACTTTGCTATGCTTCTTCTTAATTCTTTCAAACTTACAAAACAATCAATAATAAAAAAGCAAACATTTATGCTAGGAGGTCAATTTTGGGAAAAAAAAGGCTAGAAAAACTCAACAATAAATTCATCATATGGCTCAAAATTGATGCGAAAGTGTGAGTTTTTCTTCATGTTTTTGGCCAAGAAGGCAAATAGGGGTGGGGAGGGGAGATGTATAGTGCTTTCCCCTCTTTGATTCTCTTCTTTTTCTGGAAAAAAAAAAAGAATTGCATGGTTGGTGTAGACACCAAATTTTTGGTGTTTTATTATTTATTTATTTATTTACTATTCGTTTTTATTTGTTCTATTTTTAATTGTCACATTTAGTTTTATTTACTTTTAGTTTTAGTTATTTTAGCCATTTTAGCTAGAATTTCTCAAAGGAAAAAGAAAAGTGTTCCAAAAAATATGTTTTATGTCTTTTAAAATCAATCTTTTAGCATCTTACTTATTTTTGTTAAGTTATTTTGAAAAGGAAAAAAAAAAGAAGAAAAACAATGAAAAATGAAAAATGAAAAAAGGAAAATGGAAGTTGCACTTTGTTGCTTCTAGTTTATTTATTTTGCCCAATGTTAATTAAATTATTTTTGTTATTTATGTTTATTATCATTTGTGTTAAATTACTCTTTACAAAAAAAAAAAAAAAAAAGAAGGGGAACACGCGACAGCAAGCTGCGTATTTTCGCAGCTTGCAAGAGAGGACCTGGGCAGTCCCTTAGCTGCAAATATAGGAGAGAAAGGACTGGGCTTTAGGGCTAGGGATCCCATATAAAAGAAAAGAGAGGCAGTAGCCGCAAAGGGAGATCGAGGGACGGCTGCAGAAATTTGGGAAGAGAAGAGAAAACCAAAAAGCTGACGGGAAGAGAAAAGCAGAGAGCGGTGCAAAAGGCTAGGTTGGGAGAGAGAGAAAGAGGTTACGGGAGTGAAGAGAGGGACGACAAAGAGAAAGAAAAAACCAGAGAGAAAAGAGAGCTGGGGGAGGGGAAGAAACCGAGAGCAAGAGCTGGAGAATAGCATCAGGTGGTTGGCGGCTGAGAAAGAACCAAAAGAGTGGAGGAAGAGAAACCCATCGAAGGAAACCGTAAAGAGATGAAGCCTAAAGCTCGAAGCTCCACGGCCCTTTGTCAAAGTTCGCAGTTCGGGTTCGGCCAATCCGGGACTACCCACGGTGATTTAACTCCGGGAGCAGCGAAATAGGTAATCTTCAATCTCTTCTCTGTTCGTTTTAAGGTTTGGGTCGCAAAGCCAGTTTTGTACGTCCACCCTGACTGCATTTTTGCTATCGATTGTCTGGTGGGTTTGTTTTCAAAAATCTGGTTTACTAAAGTTGAAGTCAGACAAGGTTTTGCGTTGTTCTGTTCTTTTAAGATGAAGTATATGCCTGGGATTGCGTTTGTTGTGTGTTTGACTAAATAAAGCTCTGTGCTTTGCGGTTTAAATATGTGAAGGGTAGTTTGCATCATCAGCCTAGGTATTACCAGAAGTTCATGATCGTGCCTCTGGGTTTCCTTTGGTGCGTGAATCTGGATTGGGTTAGCTTAGAACCACTGAAGCTTGTGTTTCTCTTGATTTGATCTGACTGTAAAAGGGGGGGGTTCGATGGATAAACCCACAGGCTTCATAATTCTATTTCTGTTGGCATGATAAACTGGAAATTCTGGACAAGTCGTGGCTGAAAATTGCAGCAAATCTTCTGATTTTCCAGATTTGCATGATGGCTATCTTAAGTGTTTTTTCTTGTTTGGGCTTGCGGTTTTAGGTAGCTGTTGTTTAATCCAAAGTTTTTGATGCTTGATTGAAAAATCCTGATTCATTCTCGGTTGCCGAAGCTTTGAAGTTTAGGAAGCTGATCGCAGAAAAACTTTGCTGCACTCTTTCTTCTTTGCTGTTTAGTTTTTTTACTTTCTTGATGGTCAGCTCCAACTTCATATGTGCAACGGAATTGTGTGTTTAGCTAATGTTTTTTGCGCATAAGAGTGGAGCATGGGATGATGTCTTCTTGGTTGAAGAACGTTTGGCAAGCTGCCGAATTTTCTGTTGCAGAAAATCTGCGACATGTTTTCCTTTTATTGCTGTCTTGCTGTTTAGTTTTTCACCCTTGATGGCCAGCTTCACTTCTTGTTTTAATCCTGCAATAAGAATAGCTGCCTTAATCTTGCAAATGATGAAATGATTATGCTTAGATGAAATGTTTTGATCAAAGCTTGGAAATGGAAATGAGAAGTGCAGCAGTTTTCTTTCTCGGTTGATAGAAGTTGGAATAGAAAGTAAATTGCAGAAGTTTTCTTGTCTACGTAGCTTGCATGAGTTTTGCATGAAACAATTGCTGAAAACTGCACTTTGATCCCTCAAGTCTCCCCTTGTTCTACTAGGACCCAATCAATTGAATAATTTCATCAATTTGGTCCTTGGCAATTTTAATTCTACAATTTCATTGCTTGCTTGCTTCAATTGACTACCATGCTTTGTTTCAATTGCACTTAATTCATGATTTTAGGGGCTTTATGACCAAGTGAGCTTGTGTTTGCCTATTTTCTTTATTTTTTCCAAATAAATTGGTGCCTTGACCATTTCTTTTATTTTGGAAGATAAATAAGTGATTTCGCTTCATTGGTGCCCAATTACAAGGGAGGTAACCTCTATCTCCTTGATTTTCATTTCTCCTATGTGATCCAACGTGCTAAGTGTGAATTGCATGTCTACGTTGCTTTCCTTGCCTTTCTTTAAGTCTTTGCATTTATTTCATTTACCTTTACTTTTATTTAAGTTATTCATTATGGGGTATGTGTACACCTCTTGGCTTGTAATTTAAGTTATTCATTATGGGGTATGTGTACACCTCTTGGCTTGTAATAGATAGGGCTTGGGGAGCACTTGATGAAGACCTATTGAAGACATTGTGCCTAGCTAGCAAATGTAATAGGTTTATTAGCTTGATTGCTTGTTTTTGTTGCTATGTGTTAATTTGCTTTATTAGGTTCTTGCATTTAGTCGAACATGCTAATTGTTATGTGCTATGTGCTTATAGGTGTTTGGCATGTCTAATCGCTTTCCATAGCCATGAATGAATGTGATGGATGAATGTACGTCACCACACTAGTCCAATGCTAGTTGTGGCTCATTATTTCATTAGGAATTCATAGAAAGGGCTAGTCCAACGCTAGACCCAATAGGCCATCCCCTTTTGTTAGTGCATATTTGCATGTCCACTACATGTCATGCATTTTTCTTAGTTTTATCATTTGGCATGCTCCTCGAGCCCCTTTTCCCCTCATTTTAGGATTTTTGCATCTCATGCTAGTGATAGGGTACATTTGCCTGAAGAGTCCCCTTAAATATGGGATATAGACGAGTGTGGCTTTTTCTAAGCCTTAGCACGCTTATATTCCCTCTATCAAAGGGAAAATTGAGTCACGACTTAGCTCTCCCGTACCCGACTTGATGCACTCCAATAGGTTCATGCATCTCATCTTATCATTTCACTCTTTCATCTACATTTTTCACTACTTATGATTTTCTCACTTCACATGCTATGTTCACGCACTTCTCCTATCACTTATTTATTTTTCTACCTCACAAATTACACCCATTTGCACACTACCATCTATACCATACCACTCGCACACATGCACCTTATGGCATTTTTCACCTTATTATTCTTTACTTACGTTACCTTGAAAAGACATTTGCACACCCCCACTTATATCTTATTACTTTTACCATTTTTCTCACTTCACACAA